TTGTGCGTTTCAAACACCCAACCGTTTGTTTAAATTTTTTATACCAGTGTTTGAACACCCAAATACGTCCAGCAACTGAGACCAGAAATTCTAATAAATTATTCGGGAGTTAAGCCCTGGTTTTTAGTGCATTCAATTCACAGTCCTGAATATAATAATATATCATATCATTATAACACTAATTATTATAATATATTTTTTTACATTATTTCAGAACGTTTGCCGACTGGGGTTAATACACTCTAAAACTACTCAACCGATTTTGATAAGATTATATGCTAAATGTGTGTGATTTAATCCAACTTAAAATATAGAATATTATTGCCACGATCAGTGGGCCTTACATTTTTTTAACACAGTACCTACACAAAAAACGTATGCCTAAAATAGTATTATACATACTATCAGGTCTATCGGTATCTATATCTATTGGTATATATTTATATAGGTAGGTTGTATACGTCGTTTTGCGTTGGGAAAACTATGACCATATAAAGCTATACTCATATAGCTCCATACGATACATTATACTATTATAAAAACATTCAAATATGTATTATTTTGTGATATGATAACGTCAATTTACTGAACATTACCTCGCCACATCGAAGCACAAACTAATAGAATATAAGTCAATTTTAAAGCTATTCCTCAAAGTATTACGGAACATTTATCTGCATAGTAATTTATAATATATATTCGACGCTATAATATATTATTATAGTTAAACTATTTTTAATTACTGTTCTTATATTTTAGTGTATTATTTTGGAAGTATTTGTAAGTAAGTATATAGTCACCCGTATATTGTCGCGCGTATTATATTGCATATAGATAGTACCTAATGCTAATTTATTTTGTGTTATATGATTATTGACGGTTGGTCAAAATACAATATATTCTTCACGATTTTATGAAAAATATCATAGGAACGTCTATTCGCAAGTCGCAACTATACTGTCTTAAACATATTTGGTAACTCATTTGTTGGAAGCTGATAAAAACGAAAAAAAATAGTTTTTGACTTTTGAATCGTATTATTGCTGTGAACTATAATGTATTCTGCTCGGGCCATTTACATATTATATTGACATTTTGACATTTTTGATTGTGCGTTGTCTCTGCAGGCATTATAATATAATGTACGCGTTTCACATTATTATTATCATATACGAGAGATAAATTTAATAAGCGATTAACTCGTTTGGTATACGTATAACGTGACATTTTGGACTTGACAATATGTATATCGTATAATCACTGCTACGGAGCACAAGCAATAACACGACACGTGCGTATCTCCCACCATGGCCAATTACGGTGCTTGGTGGGACGGCGGTTCGGATACGGTTAACGTCGGCAAATACCGATCTCTCACTCAGCATTCTACGTTCTGATCCGTTAAAGTTACCACGGTTTTTGTACCGTCGTCGTTTTTTGAGCTACAACTAAGTTTACTCCGCAATACCTACCACATTTTTCGTTTACAAAAATCGAGTGTTGTCAAACGGATCACCACACTACACCAACCGGACCACGTATACCCTTCACAGCCAACGACTAAGTCTTCGTCAACCATCATGAGATTTTTGTACGGGTTTTTAATCATCATGCTGACTATCCATCTCAGCGTTCAGCTTTCCGGAAGCCCATTCGAAGAGAAATTTACTTGTGATAGGATTTGTTATAAGCTCTGCGGTACTGTTCACCCGTGTAGGTGTGAACAATATGTTTCACTGTTTAATCTGTGGTTTCCTCGTTGCAGCTTCGGGAATGCTGCAGAGGTGTTGCACAATTTTCTTTCTTATCCTTATTAATATGAAATTATCGAATAACTAACAATTATAAGTTACTGGTTATATGAATTTGTAGAAAAATTCATTTTTATTAGCTAATTCTAAAACACAGCTAAACCTTATTCTTATCACAATGATTGAATTATGTACCAATGATTTTTTGATTTACGATGTCTCTTTTAGCTTTTTATGGGTAAATTTTAAATTGTTTGATAATTTTTTAATTTTTATCTTACTTACATACATTTTTAAGCCAATACAAATAATTTAAAATATTTTTTTCTTTTTAATAAAAATGTATTGACGTTAATAGATTTTAAATTATACCTCTAATGCATTTTTCAAAGATTTTGATTGTTTTATAGCCCTACTTATTACCAATTCAATATAAGTTACTAGATTTGAATATGATAAAAAAAACCTTGTATCGACGTAAAAAAGAATACTGATATCTGTAATCACAAAAATGTATCTAAAACTAATTATGATTGTACAAGTATGTTAAACAATAAATGTATGTAATTTATTAAATTGACTAACACAATATATTATGCTATGTACCTACAACTTACCTAAATATATTATTTTTTTTTTGTTGTTCTTGAGAAGCTGTAGTTATATCGCTTGAATAAAGATAATTATTTTGATTAATTGGTAACGATTTAACTTTATCTGATTGAAAACACGATAAGTGTGTAGTTTAATAATTAACTTGAATATAATATCTAATATATAAAATTCTTGTGTCACAATTTTATTACCATACTCCTCCGAAACGGCTTGACCGATTTTTATGAAACTTTATATGCATATTCAGTAGGTCTGAGAATCGGCTATTATCTATTTTCTATACCCTAAGAGATAAGAGTTGTCCAGAAAAAAATAAAAATAATATTATTACTAAAATTAAAATAGAGTATTATATTGGTTGCTATTGGTTAATCGGGAATGTTTGTTGATTTGCATTATTATTTTTTGTCAATATATAATATATATAAATGAATGTTTCCCAGACCTCTGGGAAGAAGATGGGCTAATTTAAAAAGGGTTAAATTTGGTTTTTTTTTATTCATCTGATATTAGTACTGTTAGGTCAGGCTAGGATTTTGTATTAATTAATTATATTAATCAAATTTAGGTGGAATTAATTAAGTAAAAACGACAAACTTGGTATAACTTTGATACTTTAGAGTTAAATCATACACTTATTACAAACAGCACGACTGCACGAGCACGGGGTCCGTGATCTACCGAAGGTAGATTGCCTACCTGATAATATACTACAGCGAATCAGAATTGTTGTTCTGGGCAACAAAGAAGTTCGGATTAATCTAGAATATCATACACCTGAACAAAGTTTGAGTCATATAAAATTTGTACATTTAACGGGTAACAAAGTGCACGGGATCAGCTAGTATACTATAATAATTTTATAGTATACCTAACTATAATAGATATATAATATATATATTATTATGGTAGCCGCCGCAACAAATTTAAATCGTTTGGACGAATTTTAATTTTAATTTTAGGGTTTTTTTTTATTTACTGTGGTTAAGGCTTCACCAACTGATTTCATCAGCCTGTAGTACTGTGGGCAGGGTCCGTTGGCTTTTTAACACGTGTGTGTATTCGTGGCAAGGATTTGTCACTAAAAATCCTGGGTGGTCACCCATCCGGGAGTTACTGTCACTGGCCAGTGCGTACACTCAGAACGGGTTTCATAACTGAATTCGCGTCACACCGATCCACACCGATCCACAATACTATAGAGTTGTCATCCTAACAGTTGCATGAATTATCATTCCAGACTGTTGTGGCCTATCGCAATCCAAGAGTCATCCCTTGCGACGTGAACACCTACCTCTGTTATACGGTAATTATCGAATTATCGGTATATATTATCATATTATTATAAAGCTATAAAGGTGATAGTTAATTGTACATTTTATATAATATAAATACTTAAACGGCGAACTTACAACGGTGTACCTAAATTGCCTATACATTTTGGCTTGTTACACAATTATATATCATCCATTAAGTACTTAAAATATATTAAACAATATTATATATTAACTACAAATCCTTGACACATACAAACGTGTGTGTCTGTCATTTTACCTACTCACATGCAAATTACAAACATGTTTTTTCAAAAAATACTGCCAGTGACTTCAATCACTATGGTCATTAGGATGTTCCAATTTAAATTTTGAAAGCAGATTTGAATTCTCCTTTAAATGTACAATGCTTTAACTGTCGTACATTTTTCATATTCTATATCAATGTGTTTAAATTTTAATAATGAATATGATCTATTTTTACTCTTTTTGTCACTAAATGTCTAAGTAAAAAAAAGAAAAACCAGAAAAAAGAAAAAAGAAATAGGCGATTCAGTAACGAATATAAATCCGTGTTCAATAATTTTTATTGAAACATTATACTGAGTGTAGTGATTGAAGTCGTGGGTTATATTTTCGACCGAAAATGAATCACGCTCCAGTCCCCTTAAGCTGAATAAAAAAAATATTATATACAGTGTGATCACGATTTAAGGTACCACTAAATATCTCAGGTGCATGACCTTGTATTGAAATGGCGTTTTAGGGAAATGATAGGGAGTACCTAAATACATATTTTTGGATAAATTTCAAATTTTTAACATGTTTGGTGTGCGCATGCGCAATACAACTTACATTTTTTTAAATGGAAACACCATTTTTTTTTTACACATTCGAATGAATATTTTTTTTTGAGCATTTTTTGTATCAACAGTTTTTTTCTATTTTCAAAACTGACCAAGTTAGAGTAAGTCAAAGTTTGGATTTATGCATAATTCGTGTTTAACGAAATTTTCACTTATAACTACTGGAAATAATAAAATAAATGTTAAATTTACCTTATCTGTTTACAAATAATAATTTAATAATACTGTTGGTCAATATCTAGAGTATGTGATAATATTTGTTTATTAAACTCCTATAGTACGATTACAATTTTAACTATTTTTATAGTGGAATTTTGTTTTATTTTACAATAGCTCAAATAACGATAAGATAATCAGATAATGTAATTAAGGTATTTAGTTTGATGAAAAATATAATTTTAGTTTTATTCTGTAACTAGACTTGTACCAAAGTGTGTACGTTATCCGTGTATGTCTGGTTATTAAGTACTCCTGTAAATTATAAGTTTTTAAATATGAATAACGCTGAAAAAGTTGAGTTGGTTTTAATTTATGGTGAATGTCAGCGTAATTTACGCTTAGCAGCTATGACATATGCCGAACGATACCCAGAAAGATACCACCCACCTCACAATTATGTTTTAAGACTTTTACAAGGGTTAAGTCAAGAAGGAAGATTTCCTGATAGACAAATCAATCAACAAAGGCGTAGAGCAAATTTGTTTGATGAAGACATAGAATTACAGGTACTAGCATACATACGAGCTAACCCACGATCGTCAATTAGGCATGTTGCTCTCGAAATTAGAATTTCATATGGTTATGTACGAAAAATTTAAAAAAAACATAAAATGCACCTGTATAAAATTGATTTAGTTCAACATTTGCGTACAGGAGATTCTACTCGTAGGTTAGAATTTATAGCTTGGTTCAATATTCAATTTCATAATAACCCTCTAATTGTCAATCACATTCTTTGGAGTGATGAATCAAAATTTACCAATAATGGCATTATGAATAAGCAAAATCATCGATACTGGGATGATACAAACCCACACTGGTCACGTGAAACTAATTTTCAAACGGTCTGGGGAATTAATGTATGGTGTGGGTTAGTTGGTGGAAAGCTTATAGGACCGTACTTTTATGATGGGACACTTAATGGCAGACGATATTTAAATTTTTTAACCAACGAACTGCCAAGAATGTTGGAAGATGTTTCATTAGACACACGAGAACATATGTTTTTTCAACAAGATGGAGCACCAGCCCATAATGCAATTATTGTTAGACAAAAATTAAATGAAATGTTTCCGAACCGCTGGATTGGTACTTATGGCGTCGTTCCTTGGCCGGCACGGTCTCCAGATTTAACGTCATTGGATTTTTTTTTATGGGGACACTTGAAGACTGTGGTTTACGCAGATCTACCTGTTAATCTTCAAGACTTAAAAAATAAAATACAGGCAGCGTGTGAAATTTTAAGAGAAGAGCAAATCAAGGCGGCAACTACGACTGAATTTTTGAGACGACTTGAATCATGTTTAGAACATTATGGTGGAAATTTTGAACAATTTATAAGATAAATTTATTTACTTATTGTTATTATTATTGTTAATAATTTTTTATTATAGGTTTTTAATTATTACAGTTAACAGAAAAAAAAATATTGTACATTAAAAATAATATTTAATTAGGTACTTCAAATTTATTTTATTATTTCTTAATAATTACATTATCTGATTATCTTATCGTTATTAAAACTATTGAAAAATAAAATAGAATTCCACTATAATAATAGTTAAAATTGGAATTGTATGAAAGCAGTCAACGAAACAAAAATTATCACATACTAAAGATTATATCTATCTGGATGACATACGATATTATTAAATTATTATTTGTAAACAGATAAGGTAAATTTAACATTTATTTTATTATTTCCAGTAGTTATAAGTGAAAATTTCGTTAAACACGAATTATGCATAAATCTAAACTTTGACTTACTCTAACTTGGTCAGTTTTGAAAATAGAAAAAAAACTGTTGATACAAAAAGTGCTCAAAAAAAAAATAATCTATCCGAATGTGTAAAAAAAAATGGTGTTTCCATTTAAAAAAATGTAAGTTGTATTGCGCATGCGCACACCAAACATGTTAAAAATTTGAAATTTATCCAAAAATATGTATTTAGGTACTCCCTATCACTTCCCGAAAACGCCATTTCAATACAAGGTCATGCACCTGAGATATTTAGTGGTACCTTAAATCGTGATCACACTGTATATTGTATACTCATTCCTCAATGATTACATTATCATATAAATATTATATATATTATATTATATACAATCTCAAACTCTTTGATCGAAAAATTGATTATATTCATTATTGTAGAAAAAAGTCTAAAATTTCAAATCTCTATAACTAAGTAGGCTGCTCAAACAGCGCGGCACCACTTTTGTATTCCATTTAACTCTTTAGGGGTTGAATTTCCAAGTATACATATAATAATATATATTAACGCAATCGCCAACACGAATTTAAAGGTCGTAGAATAAAATTATGCGACCACAACAGTAGCAGATCATCCCGAACGACTATGGCTTCTCGTACCACGAGAGTGATCACTGACGACGTGAATACCTCTGGTATGTGGTAAATATCGGTAGGTATATATTATAATCATAATCGTACATTTATATATTAGGTTATATTCATACAACTATGGCCAATTTACCTACATATTATATTATGATAAGATTCGCAATGGTGTGCCCACATTGTGCCACCTAACACAATATTATATCATCGATCAGGTATGTATTATTATAATAAAATATTGAATACTCAATGATTACATTATTAAATCATAAATACATTATATCTATACATTTTCATGCTTTATAATCCAAAACTAGATTATTTAGTTTATAGTAAAAATAAGTCTAAAATTGAAATCACTATAAATAGCGCAAACAGAGTGAACATACTTTGAAAATTATTCTAAAAATGGTTATAAAATGAATAATACTTATAAAAAACGTTTGGTGAAAATTTCATTTATCTGCACTTTCCTATTTGTTTGAATTACAACAAAATTAGAAAATCGATTTAGTTGAATATTACCGACAGTTAGTATTATTAAAAAAGTACTATTATTACAACTTTTATTGTCTATATACTTTAATTTATAAAGATATGTACTTCAAAATCACAGAAACATTTTTTAAAAATGGTGATCTGCTGTACAGTAGATTACAAGTGGGTCACTGTATAATGGATGTTATTAAATTTGAATTCAATGACATCATAACATTGTATAAGAAAAACGGTTCTGAGTGGAGACAGTTTATCAGTCTGGATATTTTATATTTTATTATTTATTTTTTGGTAACAGAATTAGCTACATACGTGGAATCTTGTCTTAAATTTTCAATCCTTAGATATAAACGTTGAGCATTTTATAAATTTTTACCTACAAATAATTATTCAATTTGAAATTTGAAAAATTTTGTCAAAATTCGATTTTTAAATGCTTATATAAAAAAAAATTGTGCCTATGTATTTTTAATATTTTTCAACTGATAGGTATTGTAACAATATATCAGGAGTCTTGTATTAAAATTTTACACTTTTTGGCCCAACAGAATAAAACTTTAATGACATTTATAGAAAAAAAACTAAAAAAATTGAAAACTGAAAATGTCCGCAAACAGCCCAAAAATATTCAAAATATTTTCAAAATTGTGAGGTGTATAGGAAATGCTAATATAAATATCCAGTGAAATTTCCATGTATCTACAGTCACTCGTTTTTGAATTACAACAAAATAAGAAAATCGCTAAATCGAGTGAATATCCAATGTTGTAAAAATTTGAATATCAAACGCTCATAAAAATGTAATTTGTTTTTCTTATAGACTTATTTTTTGATAAAGGTAGATAATCTTATAAGGAATCTTATGTTACATTTTGAAATCTTAGATTTAAAAAGAAAAATGTTTACGAATTCTTAACTAAAAATAATTTGCATTTTTTCGAGATTTTTCCATATTTTATCAATTTTTTAACTTTAAATGATTATAAGAAAAAACTGTGATTAAGGATTTTTGTTATTTTTTATCTGCCTTTGAAACAATATACTAGGAGATTTCTATTAAATTTTCAAGCTTTTTTTAAAAAACAAATACAAATTTTTGATTTTTTAGAAAAAAAACTAAAAAAAAATATGGAAAATGAAAATGTTCTTAAGCAGTTCAAAACAAATCATAATATTTCGAAAATTTTATCGTGTATAGAAAATGCAAATATAAGCAACCAGTGAAAATTAATTTGTTATAGAGTTAAACCAAAACCCAAATCAATTTTCTCGAAAACAGATTTTGAGTAAAAATTCCCATTTTTCCTTCATTTTTCTTTTGTTTTTCACGGTGCTTTTGAAAACTACTTTTAATTTTTTACTTTTTACCCCCCAAAGTACCAACTAGATTCACTTTGATACCAGAAAAGAAACCGTTAAAGAAAGTCCAAGCATTTTTACTGTCCTAAAAAGTGATGCAGACACAAAAACAAAAAAAAATCACACATCATTGTAAAATCAATACATTCATCTAAAAATGTATAGAACTAATTTTATCAAGTTTTTAGTTTTAACACTTTAAAATTTAAAATGTAATACAAGATTTCTCATAAACTGTATTCAGTATTTCAGTGTACAATGTACATAGAAAATAAAATTCGAATAATTGCATATTCAATTTTTATGAGTGATTGAAGTTCAAATTCTTTGTAATTTATATTGAATATTTACACTTAAAGTAACGATTTTTCTTCGAAATTTTTTTTTTATTCAAAAAATAGTAATCTAAGAAACTTGAAAAGTAACTAATTATAAGTGTTTTTGATAATTTTGTTTTTTTTTAAATATTTTCTTATAATAATAAACGAGCAATATATTGATATAGATACTTAATGTTACAATTAATCATCCTTAATAATTAAATTTAAACTACATAATTATATAATTTATATGAAAATTAAAAATTAAAATTCCTTTACATTTTAAAAGTGCGTTATTAGTGAATGTGAATCTCTAGTAAAGTTATTGAGTAAAAGAAAATAATGATCCTGAACTGAAAAGTATTTCAAATTGTATTTTCACCAGGAAATCTCGTGCGTTTATTTTAAAAGAAATAACACTTTGATCCTAAATGTTCGCGCTATGCAATTACCTTAACGCGAGAAGCTTCTCGTCTATACGCCACTCCGTCATATTTAATAGTTTAATTATAATAATATTGTTATAGGCATTTATTCACTTTGTCTTCATTTCTCCGTGTTGAATTTTTTTTTAGATTTTTTCCCTGGAAACTCACTGTTATTCGGTTAAAACCATCAGGGTTGGAAAAAGTTATTAATTTTATCAAAATATATGTTTTGGGGCTTAATATACCTGGACGGGCCGATAGCATATAATAATAGTATGCGCACCCCGGACACCTAATTGTTGACCACTAACACCTAGGACAGGTCTTAAATATACGAGCACTAGCTGGGTGTGTAGTGGTTTGTAATAGCTCGAACAGCAGTGGTCGGGATTGCCGGGCAAATACTGTCGAGCTACGTAATGCGTGTAGTGTATTTATGTGTATTGTTTGTGTGTTATGTGTGTATATATGTGGGTGTGTGTACAATAAAACAATAATAATAAAATGGTAACACGGTTTTTGGTAATAAGTTGCTGTTGCTGTATAATACACAAGAATAATGACACAAATATATAAAAAATCACAGCAACACAATAGGTATAAAAATATAATATAAAAATGATAATATTATGATAGTGCTATGCGCCCTTATGGCACATCAGAATATAATAAATATATTTAGCCCTTATGGCACAATGTGGTATAATAATAATTGTATGGCCCTTATGGCACGACAGAATATTATAATAAATATTGTAACAAAAAATATAAAATATAATAAATAACTCACAGTATTTGGTGGAGCGCAGACTGGCCAGCTGGTCCTGAGCTATATCGACATAATAATAAATAATAATAAAATAAAATACACTGGCGATTCTCGCCTTACAATAAATAATAATAGCCAAAGGTATTGGTGATTTGCACCGCACAATATAATTGAAACCTGGCGATTCGCGCCCGAACAAATATAAAATAACTATTAAGCGATTCGCGCTTTTTACGGCAATAATAATTTATAATGCTGTAATGTCACACCGAGAATTTTATATAATTTAATCAGTTACAATTTAACTAGGCCCTTCTGGCGCTAATAATTATAATAAAAAACAATATAAGTTATTAAAACAATTATTAAACATAATTTTACATAACATTTTTTGTGCGCGTTGAAACGGTCGGAACAACGTACGGGAAGCGACAGACATTTTACGGCGGCCGTGCTAAGTAAAATATCCGCGTAGACGGAGCGGCGGCACGATATCATTTTATCTACATATTATATAACTCACAAGACATTTAAATAGGTACATACAAAAATAAATATTATGACAACAGGTGATAGTGTGTGTGTGTGTGTGTGTGTGTGTGTGTGTGAC